GACTCGCTTGAGCCCAGGAGTTGGAGGTTGCTATGAGCTGTGATGCCACGGCACTCTACCCAGGGTGACAGCTTGAGGCTCTGTCTCAAAAAAAATCATCCCTGTAATCACTTTTCCCTCATACTCCTTTATCTTCTTCATAGTATTATCTATTCCTTTGTTTCCACTAGAATGTAAGCTTCCTAAAGAGCCACCTGTTTTTCTTTCTGTCATATGTGATAGCCTTGGAGAATGCCTGACATATGATAGTATTTGCTAAATGAATGCATTTATCATATTTTCTCCTATGTGAAAATAGATCTAAATCTCTATAATGGCTGGAATTTCAGGTTTAAAACTACATATTTTTATATAGCAGGTATATCTACTGGCACCTTCCAAACCAAATGAAGTTTTATGATTATTTTCAGCCTTTCTGAGCACTTGTGCTATATCGCTTTCCCTGGCTACCTATAAGCCAGAAGTTGAAGATGGGTAGATTATTCTTTTTTTTTTTTTTTAAGAGATCGTCTTACTTTGTCACCCTTGGTAGAGGGCTGTGGTGTCACAGCTCACAGCAACCTCCAGCTCTCCGGCTTAGGCGATTCTTTTGCCTCAGCCTCTGAGTAGCTGGGACTACAGCTGCTCACTGCAATGCCTGGCTATTTTTTTGTTGCAGTTTGGCCAGGGCTGGGTTCAAACCTGCCACCCTTGGTATATGGGGCCAGCATCCTACTCCACTGAGCCACAGGCACGTGCCGCCCATGGGTAGATTATTCTTTTAAAGAACCTTGAGGGGTTATACTAAACCTATAAGTTTTCTATATTCCAAGTAGTTCGTTGTTAACGTCCATTTTATAGCTGTTCACCTGAACTCTAGTGTGGAATATAGGAACCTTCTGACATCTAAACATCTAAATGATGTTTTATACAGATCATTTCATTGTAAGAGATGGTATTTAGCCATTTGTAGACTTTGTAGACCTTTTTTTTTTTAATCATACTGTTCAATTAAAACCTATTCCTAGGGCGCCGCCTGTGGCTCAGTGAGTAGGACGCAGCCCCCAGTACCGAGAGTGGCAGGTTTGAACCCAGCCCCAGCCAAACTGCAACAAAAACATAGCTGGGCGTTTGTGGTGGGCACCTGTAATCCCAGCTACTTGGGAGGCTGAGGCAAGAGAATCACTAAAGCCCAGGAGTTGGAGGTTGCTATGAGCTGTGACACCGCGGCACTCTCGCTGTCATGTGAGGGCAACAAAGTGAAACTGTCTCTAAAAAAAAAAAAAAAAAAAAAAAACACTCTTCCTATATATGTCCTCAGTTGTCTGAGGTTTGATGTGGAAACATCATGTAATTGTTCCTACCATGACTAGCCTATGTATGCCTCTGTGTTTAAAATATCTTACTGTTTTGCTTTCCCGTAAATAACCAAAGAAATGTAAAATACCCCTTAGATTAATGGTTCTCAACTTTCCTAATGCCGCAGTGTACTTTCATTGTTACAAAAGGGTCTCAAGCCATAGGTTGAGAACTGCTGCCTGAGATAAAAGGCAGCATGGGATAATGAGACACATGAATATAGGGGGCCCAAAATCTTGAATTCACTCCAACCTAAAGTTCTAAAGTTTTTCGACTTCAGAATTCTCATCATTTTTAGACCTTGGTTCCCCTTTTTTTCCCCCTCTCTTAGGTATTTTTCAGACTTGATCTGTAAATACCTTTTGTCCTATATTGTAGTGCTGTTCTGGTAACCATATTGTTCATTAAATCTGATGTCTTTGTTCTAGGGTAAACTGATCCATGCCAATTTTGGCACTAAAAAAGACTTTGAGGATTTAAAGACTCCTGTGAATGGATCATTAGTGATTGTGAGAGCAGGGGAAATTACATTTGCAGAAAAGGTGAGTATGGGCTGTTAAATAACACTACATTGGTGAAATTACTCAGTTAAATGGTAATTGTTAATTTGCCTAGAATACATTTTGAAAACTCAGTCTTAAGCTCTCATGCCTGACAACATAATTTATTGAACTGCTCAACAGGTTAACATCAAAACTATGACACATCCAAGTGGCTACTTGGTAGCCGTTTTCTTTCAGTGAAAATGCAGTAAAAAGAGATGCTTACGTGAAAGTAGTTTAAATTGTGTCTGTGCAATCCAATTTTATGTATAGGGGGAATTCACTTATAAGTGTGTTTATAAAAAGGGAAATTATATCAAACCTACACAAGGGACCAGACAGGAATATATCAAAAAGATTGATTGTAGCTGGACATTGTGGCAGGCGCCTGTAGGTCCCATCTACCCAGGAGACCAAGGCAGGGTAGATTGAACCAGGAGTTAAGAAGTTTCTGTAAGCCTGGGCAACAGAGTAAGACTGTCTCTAAAAAAGACAGTAGTTGCTTGGATGGGTTTTCATTTTTCTTATCTTGATTGTCCTTAATTAAAGAGGTGTTTTTTGTTTATTTGTTATTTGGGGGGTTTTTTGAGACAGCCTCAAGCTGTTGCCCTGGGTAGAGTGCTCTGCTGTCAATAGCTCACAGCAACCTCTAACTCCTGGGCTTAAGTGATTCTCTTGCCTCAGCCTCCCAAGCAGCTGGGACTACAGGTGCCTGGATATTTTTTGGTTGTAATTGTCATTGTTGTTTTTGGCAGGCCTGGGCTGGATTTGAATCTACCAGGTGTGGTGTATGTGGCCGGTGCCTTAGCCACTTGCACTATACGCACCGAGCCTAAAGAAGTTAGTTTTAAGGAAAATAGTTTTCTAAAATTTGACCTGTTTGAAATGAGGTCTAGTCCTCTGTAACCATTTGTACTTTAGTATAAAGTGTATTTTTGTCATTTTGTGTGATCAAATCTTCATTTGATGAGCTTTGTTTTTCTATAGGTTGCAAATGCTGAAAGGTTAAATGCAATTGGTGTTCTGATATACATGGACCAGACTAAATTTCCCATTGTTAATGCTGAGCTGCCGTTCTTTGGACATGTGAGTTTCATTTCTTGAGTAAATGAGTTTTTGAGTTCTCTAAATTGTTGCTAGATTCATCTGTTAGTAAAAATAGAATCATGCCTTCATTAAATACGTTTATTGGGAGAGTTAGTAGTAAGCAAGAAAATGGATTACTTTAACTTTGAATCCCTATTATTATTGACACAAGTACTTTATATCAATGATTCCTTGAATAGAGCATTTGACATATGCCATAAAAACAAGAGTCACATACTGAGAAAGCCACTCAGACTTTGAGACTCAGAATCCAGTAAACAGAACTTGGGGGCTTGTATCCTTATACCAAATCTGAATCATAGGGAGCTTTTTCAGTAAGTTCCTGATAGACCTAATTTCTCTTTTGTTTTACCAGGCTCATCTGGGAACAGGTGACCCTTACACCCCTGGATTCCCATCATTCAATCACACTCAGTTTCCACCATCTCAGTCATCAGGATTACCTAATATACCTGTGCAAACCATTACCAGAGCATGTGCAGAGAAGCTGTTTAAGTAAGTTCTTACTTGAAAGCTGTTTTTCAGGATGAGATTTTATGGTTAAGGGAGGATGATAATGTTGATTTGATAAAATGTTAAAACAATTGGCACATTGGGAATTTGAAGCTTTTGGTATAGATAACAATGGAAAATTTTTCTCAATAAAGTGGTCTTAGTGATGGGCATTTGGTTTGTAAGCTCAGAAATGTTCATATAATTCACCCAGTAAATCCCTTGTGGAATATTTCTGGCATAGTTTTTACTTGAGTACTTCCTGTGATGAAGCATTTGTTGCCTATGGCAACCCATTCAGTTATTGTAGAAAATTTGTTAGAATTCATGTTGAAAATCTCATGACACAGAGTCTGACTTTGTCACTCTCAGTAGAGTGCTATGGCATCACAGCTCACAGCAACCTCTAGCTCTTGGACTTAGGTGATTCTCTTGCCTTAGCCTCCCAAGTAGCTGGGACTACCGGCGCCTGCTGCAATGCCTGGCTATTTTTTTGCTGCAGTTTGGCTGAGGCCGGGTTCACCACTCTCGGTATATGGGACCAGCGCCCTACTTACTGAGCAGCCTGTTCTGCATTTTCTTTTAGGAACATGGAATAATTCCAGTTGACATTGCCTAAAAAGTGAAAACCAGGCAGGGTGTGAATACTTATGCCTGTAATCTTAGCACTCTGGGAGGCTGATGGTGGTGGATTGCTTGAACTCAGGAGTTCAAGACCAGACAGAGCAAAGTGAGACCCTGTCTCTACTAAAAATAAAAAAACTAGCCTGGTTAGGTGTCACAGGCCTATAGTCCCAGTTACCCAGGAGGTTGAGGCAAGAGGATTGCTCACGTCTCAGAATTTGAGGTTACTGCACCTATGATGATGCCACAGTACTCTACCCAGCACAACACAGTGGAGACTCTGTCTCAGAAGATAGTGAATATCCTCGCTTATGATGGCTTCAGGTGCTTTATATAGCTATAAGTTATTCTGGCTATCCTCCATCGTGTATTAGGATCAGACTTTAAAACTGGGCACAGTGGCTCATACCTGTAATCCTAGCACTCTGGGGAGGGAAAAGAGAAAGTAGAGTGCAGTTTGATTAGAATACATATTATTGACTCAGCACTCGTAGCACAGGGGTTGCGGTAGCAACCATGAAGGCTGGTGGGTTCAAACCCAGACCGGGCCAGCTAAACAACAATGACAACTGCAACAAAAAATAGGCGAGCATTGAGGTGGGCACCTGTAGTCCCAGCTACTTGGGAGACTGAGTTAAGAGAATAACTCAAGCCCAAGAGTTGGAGGTTGCTATGAGCTGTAATGCCACTGCACTCTACCGAGGGTGACATAGTAAGACTTTGTCTCAAAAAAAAAAAAAGTAGAATACGTATCATTATGTTGGTGTGGACATAATTGCTCACTATGTATTGTTGTAGGATGGAGATTTAATTTCAGACTCAGTGCAGACCTTTGCTATGTGACCTAGAAAGGTACATTAACCACTCTGATCCTGTTTCTTCATCTCAGTGGTTGAAGAACATCTACATATAAAGGTTTTATAACATACTGTGTGACTATTAATAATTCTCAGAGGCATTGGTAAGATTCTTAATTCTTACCAAACTTAGAAGCAGGTAATTATCCCCATCACTCACATGTCTTTCCAACCTGTCAATCCAGCCCCCTATCTTAACCTTGTATAGTAGGGGGTAATAATTTGACCTATATTTATACAAGTAATCCCCTTTGGAGCAGTCACTGGATAATACATGACATGAAGAATTAGACAGGGGAAGATGTCTAACAGAAGTTTTTGTTCATATACATACCTTGGGTTAGAGGGATGGGAAAATGTATTAATGAACTTAATATATAAGATGTTATATATTAAATCTGAGTCCATCTTGGTGTATATTTCAAATGTTAACTATAGCTACATACCTGGTGAGAAGGCATTCATCAGCCAAGGCTAGGTAGAGAAATATTTTTTGTTTATTTATGTTTTTGAGACAGAGCCTCACATTGTCACACTTGGTAGAGTGCTGTGGCATCATAGCTCACAACAACCTCAAACTCAGGCTTAAGCAATCCTCTTGCTTCAGCCTCCCTAGTAGCTGGGATATCAGATGCCTGCCACATACCTGGCTATCAGAGACAGGGGTCTCACTCTAGCTCAGGCTGGTCTCAAACCCGTGAGGACACAGAATCCACCTGCCTTGGCCTCCCAGAGTGCTGGGATTACAGATGTGAGTCACCAAGTCACTGACATAGTATGACTCTTTCTATTCCTTTTTTTTTTTTTTTTTAAAGACAGGAGTCTCTATTGCCCTCGGTACAATGCTGTGATGTCAGCTCACAACAGCCTCCAACTCCTGGGCTTAGGTCATTCTCTTGCCTCAGCCTCCCAAGGAGCTGGGACTACAGGTGCCCGCCACAACACCCAGCTATTTTTTTGTTACAGTTTGGCCGGGGCTTGGTTTGAGCCCACAAACCTCAGTATATGGAGCTGGTGCCCTACTCACTGAGACATAGGCACTGCCTGACTCTTCCTATTCTTTAAACTAGGAAGTAAGCCATGGTTTTCAAATGACTATCCTATAAACTGAGATAGTTGACCACTAAGAAGTAATTTTCATGTGTTTTTATATGTCCTTTTTTTTTTTTTT